CGCACACACTTCTCTGCTTCATACTGTCTCGCTTCTCCTCACCAGTTTTTAAACCGTTTTGCCGGAGGTTTCATCAAGAAATCCCATCCCTGTGGTGGCGCTATCTTCCTGCGTGTTTATTTGTTTCTAGCGTGGTTCCACTCCGTCTTTTATAGTGAACTCGCCTTTAGTCACGTGAACCTGCGCAGTGCCGTGCGCAGTGGAATCGAAAACGGCTGCTTCCTACAGGGCGCGGCCATGATGTATCCCAACACTACTATGCGTGGCCACAGGGGGAGGTGAAAGCCGATGTTTGGCTTGGTCACAGGCGTCATATTTTGACTCCTTGGGTGTGAGAATGTGTTGGCTTTGTGTTGACAAACAAAGTTTGGGCGCCACCCGGACGGTAAGTCGTCAATGATTTACCGCCCGACGAGAAAATTTAGGGCCATTGGTGCTCGGGCGCTTTAAAGGTCCACCCCTGACTATTTTTAGATGTATCACTCGTCCAACATCTTTTCTGCTACTTTTTTACTTTCTCGTTGCATTGGTATTTCATGTTGTCCCTCAATGAGTAGTCAATGTCTCACATTCTGCTAGATGGGATCTGGTCACCCTAAGCAGAAACACAAAGAAACAAAAGCACCTGTACCAAACTAAGGTACGTCTGAGAAAAGAAAAGTTTAGAAGTGCCAACGCGGCAGTGTTGCAACTGAACAAGTTCATTGAGCGATTGTTCGTGAACTCGTTTATTTTTGTGAAATTGAACTCACTCGTAGTTTGCCAGATGAACGTTAAAGTGAGCGTGCTCATTCTGGTGTCTGTGAACGGGTTTATGAACAGTGCTCTCTCCGTTTGAGAGCTCTAGATCTTCACTGAGCAAAGCCTTGGCTAAAAACATCCAGTTAACCATAGACTTTATAAAAAGTAGACCTGCCATAGGCAGTATTGGTCGGTGAGACATCTCTTCAATGTCTATGCTGTTGAGGACGGATCTCTGTAATGAACAAATCTACAGTTATTTGAATGAATGAAAATGTTCTTTATGTAATTACACTGACAAACATGTCTGAAGATAGTTCTTGTTATTGTGTTTTCATTTTATGTCCTTGTCAGTGTGTTTAGGTAATTATAAGAACTACTTTTGGTTTTTAGAGATTGTAACAGAATGTTTGGTAACACTTTACAGATATGCTGGTGCTAAAAGTGTTTGTTCTGTGTTACATAAACCTACAACCTTTGTAGCACCAGTGCTACAAGCTAAAAATGTTAGCGTACAGCCCTGACGCTTACATGCACTTAAAACAAAAGAGAGGGTGCTCGCTGCAGAACCACAAAGGCGGAGCTGCACCAGAGTCAGCCCCGCCCATTCACGCAAACTCAGCCTAGCCCACTGACTTCCGTTTTTGTTTTCAACTTTATCGCAAACTGACCTGACCCACATGAATTACGGCTGTTACTAGTTTACAGTCGTTAATGCTATGTTCTATGCTCCAATTAAACAAGTATAATATAACTTGCTACATGACAAAGACTGAATATATCTCGAAATGAAAAGGTTTCTTTCAGCGAATATCTGCCCACAGCCGGTCTAACAGAACTGGTGTATAACAGCATGTCAGACTTTCGAATGGGCTTTGGTAGTCTAGTGGCGAGATCGTCTGAGTAAAGTTTTGCTTTCCCCTCAGCTGATGCTGGTTCGATTCTCGGTGGGGTCGTCAGCAATCTATTTAGCCAGCTGAAACATTTAATTTGTTTATATTTTAGTTGTAATGTTTATTTTCAGCAAAATATTTATGTCTCTCAAAGTTCTTTGAATTTGGTCGTTCCTAAAAAGCATTTTAGTTGAAACTCTGCTCACAAATGGACTCACACTGGCTAAATAAACGAATAAATAAATTAAAAAAAACACATTAGTCATTATATGTTAAATGGTATACCAGTAAATTGTTGTAAACATAGTACTGGCAAGTGTAGCTAGAAATGAAGAAAAGAGGTTGTACACTACCTAAAACTTACAGTAATGGGAGGCGAACCTGCGCAAAACTGCATGTCAACCTGACTCCATAACCACTACACCACCACATCTGTTATAACTCATGCGGCGTTACATCTAATTGTGCTGCCTAGTGTGTCTCTGAGATGGGTTGTATGGTTTTTTGGCGGTGTCTCAGTAGAAGTCATTTCAGAAATAATTTGTCAGAAAATTCACAGAATATCCAGATTTGAGAACCAAGACCAGACCCGCTTCGGAGGAGGAGACCAAATTGAAGCTGAGATGGGAGGAAAATGCATGAATGAGGCTAAAAATTGCTTTGGCATGCTTCTTATGAGGAAATGACAATATAACATGATTAAAAGTTCCAAAAGTTAGATTTTCAATTATATGGAACCTTTACAAAAACTGTTCAATTAACTTCTCAACTCCGTCCTCAATCTTGCATTTTTTAGCTATAACACCCTCTTTGGTTCCAGAATGCTATCAAGTCTGACAACTGGAAGGAACTGGACTGACTCTGATGGAATGGGCAGGGCTGATTCTGGAATGGGCGGGGCTGACTCTGGTGCAGCTCCACCTTCTGGTGCAGCTCCGCCTTTGTGGTTCTGCAGCGAGCACCACTTGAAACAAAACGCTGTGTGTTTTTTAGGGCACTACTTTGGTTTTTGATGCACATATAAATGCACTGAGTGTGTGAATGGGTGAATGACTCATGGTAGTGTAAAGGGCTTTGGAGTCCTCTGACTCAGAGAGGTGCTATTGACCCTTTGCACCGACGTCACCTAATCACGTGGGTCCACCATGCTGGACTGCAAAAGCATGTAAACAGTAAGAGACGTGAGTACTAAACAAAGAGGAAAGTAGAGCCTGAAATTGTTTTTGCAATCAAAACAAAAACAGAACTCCTCCAGCATTCCTTCAACTAGTTCATGTCCAGTTCAGTTATCAGAAGAAGTAGCGCATCTAGCCGGGGCTCATACAGAGCGGTATGTTAACTAGCATACTAACGTTAGCTTATGTTCTCTCTGCAGCTGTTCACCGATGTAAACATGTTGCTGACTTTGCCTAAATTCACCCCTCTGGATTTATAACATTATGCACACCAAAGCTGATTGTTAAAAAGTCCAGATCCCTTGTTGATGGTGGTGTTACCGGGTTCAGCTGCTGCTCTCACACCGGAATGAGAAGATCTCTGAACGGCGACGCTCATATAAATAAATAAATAACGCAATTTTAACGCATATAATCATACATCGGAGCTTTAATATTGTTAATAATGATCTCGCTTTACACTACAGTGGACGGCGCGCATCATCTGTGGTGAAATACCCATCCATCAGGATTATCAATAACCTGTACAAACACATCACATTTATCCCTGTCCCTGTCTTCCTTGTGAAATAAATGAACGTTAACTCATTGGCTGCCAGCCATTTCCTGATCACTAACGGCCTTCGCTGCCAGCGTTTCTCACAGTTTTTACTGTTTTTTTAAGAGTCACAGAACGTTGCGCGCTAGGATGATGTCGACGCCAAAACAACCAAAACAAAGAGGAGACTCCATGACGGAGCCGTCAGCAGCACGTTACTGCAGCAGCATGTCATAGCTGCTGATGGGAATCGCTGTGGTCAACAGAACCTTTTCCACTGGAGCTGTCAGCAGCGCGAGTCGGCCGCGTCTCAGGAGCAGCATGTCACGGCCCTTACGCGCCGGTTCTATTTTCTACGCCCTATGCCTCTGAAACGGGTCAAGTTCAACATTTTTGGGGAAGGAAAGACAGGAAATTGGACGCGGAAACAGAGCGAAGCTGCCTGAAGTTTTCAGAATAAAGAAACGTGCTGTCCTGCTTTACTTTAAAAAAAGTTATCACCTAGCTAGCGGTCTCCATTGTTTTTCCATAATGGACGACGAAAGGTTGATTACTGAAGTGGAGAAGTACCCAATCCTGTTTGATCCCAGTCACAGTTTTTATAAAGACAACGTCAAGAAGGATAACGCATGGAGTGACGTATCTGCGGTTTTGGGGCAAGATAGTGAGTTTATGCTAATTATTAACGTGATTTCTTTTGTAGTTTTCTCCTGCTTGTTGTTGTGTTTACTGACGAAGTCATGCGTGATTTTGCTAATGTCGCGTGACTTCGTGCTCTGTCGGTGACAGCTGCTCCCCTGCTGCTTTGCGTCTCGTGGGAAGGGCCAAGTAGCAGCTTACGCGAGCAAGACATGCTGCTGCAGTAACGTGCTGCTGACGGCTCCGGTGGAAAGGAGGGGTCACCTCTTACATCAGGAAGAATCCGCATGTTTCGAGCGTTATCCATTCTTTCGTAATCCATTGTCGAATTGTGTTTGGCAGACGCTTTTCCGGTTCGCGCCTCACCTTTTTTCACGAACAGCCCAAAACGATCTCCTAACACATGGATGTTCTGCTTCCTGATCATGGGACGAATGCGGATGAAGATCGGCTTCAGGGTTGAGATGTTTGTTCTCTCAGCAAGGGGGCTCTTTCTGATGCTCAAACAGTAAAAAAAAAATGCAAATGACGACTTTAGTCGTCAATGGCAGTGAACGGTTGGATCTAAAATGATGACTTTAGTCGTCAATGGCAGTGAATGAGTTAATCTTACCAAGTAAAAACATGTTTGCTGCAAATCTGAGGGCTGCTAGTCCACTTGACGCGGCAGTTCATCTCCGTCCTCAGTCTCCATCAAAGTTATTAAAAAACAAAACTAGTTGAGTTTACATCCTTGTCTGTCAGTGCAGCCATCAATGCAGCAAGCTAAAACCATTTTACTATCAAATCAACTAAATAAAAGCGATTAAAGGCTACAAACTGGCTTGTTTTGACTAGCTTCGCTGGAGTTTCATCGGGTGTAAATGGGCTTTTTGCCGTCCATCATGTTGAAGGAGGCGGTCACATGAGTGGCGTGACGTCACGTGCAAAGGGTCAATAGAAGATAAGGTCATTTATCTTAAGCTAACAGGTTTCTTGCAGGGTTGTTTCCACTAATCCATTTGTTTGTTGTAGTTGTGATCAGGACCGTCTGGGGTCAAACATGACAGGAGCTGGAAGTGGTGAGTTTTCCCTCACAGCAGAAAAATCTTACTTTTCTGAATGAATGAAGCACATGATTGTGTTGCTCAGCTTGATTGATAATAATCATATAAATGTTCTTCTGTGTGTGTTTAGGCGGGCAGGGTCCTCCTGATGGCTTAGACTCAGAGGAGGCAGAGAAATGTCCGGTCTGCCTGGCCGTCCTGGCTGGACGCGAGCTCTCCATGCCTGACAGCTGCTGCCATGTTTTCTGTCTCCAGTGCCTCCTCACGTGGGCAGAGGTGATTCTCAGTTACTTGGAAAAACCAGGGTTGTATTACTTTAGTTTATTAACAGCAATTATTTTATTTCTTTCACTATAAAGTTGCAGATGTCTCCCTCCTGCCCTGTAGACAGAAAACCCTTCATTAATATTTACAGATGGGACAGCAGCCGTGGCCTGGTGCAGGTTAGTCTGGTTTCTGTCCATGTTTTTTCTGTCAGAAATGTTCTCTTCTCTAAAACCAAACTTTCTTCTGTTTTGTTTGGAGGTTCCTGTCCAGAGGCGAGCAGTTCAAACAGAAGCTGAGAGCTGCTGCTGTAGAAACCCCGAAAAAAAAGTCTGTCTGAAGTGAGTCCAAGCAAAATGTTTGAGGTTTAATCTGGTTCAAACCAGAAAAAATCTAATAATTATGACAATATTATAGGGATGCTTGATATAGTTGTTTTTTAACCGTTATCCAATATTGTTTAACCCTTAATTTTTGATACTGATATAAACCAACGCCAATATACGGGGGGTGGGTGGGTGGTAGGGCGTAAATGCTTAAGCTTTAAACATTATCCGTGCAAAATGACAGCTACTTAAATTTAAGTTGGTAATAGGTAACCCACAAAAGAGAGTGGTGTGACCCAGCTAGCTGCTGCACAAATATCCTGGACAGACACCACAAAACGGGGCCCAAGATGTGGCCCTGCTCCTTGTAGAATGATGGGCCACAGACACACCCTATGCCACTTAAACACTAGCATTAGCTCCACTCCGCACTGCCCGCCCCAGCCTGGCTGTGTTCGTTTCACACTGCCTTAGGAATGCGGACATGATTGAGCACATGGATGATCTCCAAAATGGGTGTGAAAAATAGATATCAGTGATGTCATGAATGCATCTGAGCACATGGGCGGGGCAAAGACCGCAGAGAAGTTTGCGATGTCTCCATTATTAAACAAAAGCGGCCTGAGCAGTCTTGCTTTTGGAGACTCTGATTCTGATATTGCATCCTGCTTTGCTTTGTCTGGCAGCACCGTGTGTGTGTGCGCGCGTACGCGCGCGCGCGCTCCTCACAGCAGTGAGAAACCGAAAAATGGCTTTAGTCAGAGGCTTGTTAATTCAGCAGCATCCAGAATACTAATGAATTGCACATACAGGAAACGCCACCCCCCTGGTCTGATTCTGTCCGGTGTGAATTTGAGCCAGTCAGCAGTAGGCGCGTTGGACCAGTTTGACTCCTGGCAGACCAACTCAGGAAAGATGGCTGAAAAGACGTCCGGTTGCATGTGGGAAAATCTAAGGTTGCTCAAATGAGAAGACATGCGCAACCGTGTCCTTTTTATAAAATATTGGGTGATGGCTGCATAAAGGGGGTATGGGTGCAGTCCCAGCACTGCAGCAGACTTCTGTTTATCTTGGACATAACTTGCTTTTTATTTTAATTAATTTAGATTATTTCGATTGTTAAAGAGCAAGTCACCCCCAAGTCAATGTTTTTTGCTGATGAACTAAATGAGGGTCTAATCATGCTGTAGACGCGTGTAGTCAATAATTTGGCACTTTTGTGCATCTTGGTTAAAATTTATATATTCTGTCTAAAACTGTCAGTGTGGTGCCCTCTTCAGATAAAAACTCTTCACTACATTTGAATTAATCTGCCATCACTACTTAGTAAGAGGTACCCTATGACTTTAGCTGGATGTCACAAAGCTGTTGTGAGCCTGCGTGTGTGTTTGTTACTCCACCCTCTCAGTCTGCCAGGCAACAGCATTTGTTGCATTTTTCAAACATTAAGTGGGAGTGGAGTAAAACTCTGGTAGAAGGTGACTTGCTCTTTAAAGACAATTAATTGATCTTAACAAAGCTATTAACAAAATACTGCTCACTCATTAATAATGGAAAGAATGATTTGAGCATTAAACGTGTCAAAATGTAGGTGAACAATAAAATGCTTTTGTTAATGTCAGAACAATCAGCAGGGCACCACAGGGAATCGAACCCCGTCTCATTGAGAGTACCATTACCAGTGCCTTTTACTTTTTGTTTTGACTAGGAAAAGCAAAACCTGCATCAAGAAATCCAGAAATGACCTCAAGATTTAGGAAAAACAAACCTTTATTAATCAATTTAGGCCTGATTCAAGAGGACTTAGGTTTTGTGATTTCTTACATCTTTCTTTTATTTAAAAATTTGGTGATTTCCCTTGAATTCAATTTAGTTTTTTTTGTTTAGCACTAATTCACAACTCAAATCTTCTCACAGCACTTTACAAAGCAAACATTCCAGTTGAACCTACTAATTAAACAAACACATTCTCACACCCAAAGCCTCATATAATGACGCGTGTGACCAAGCGTCAAAATATGACGATTAGGGAGTCCCAGCGTGTCGGGAGAGGACGCGCTGGGACACGTGTCACCGCGGTGGCATGGACATTAAAAAGTCATCGTGTGTGCAGTACGTGAGCTGTCGGCTGAGCTGAAATATTCTACTGGCCAATCAAAGTGTGTTTGGTTTAGTTTGTTCATTTAACACCTTTAACTTTGGCCCCTCCCCTTGTCTCTATGACACAGGAGTTCTGATTATTCTACCTAAAATTATTTGGTTCAGTCTGGCTGTCAAATTCTGCTTCTCACAAAGGAGTACTTTCTATGTTCAAAGTAAATAAGTTAAACGTTTACAGCAGAACATGGATAAGGTTTAGTGGTTGGCAGTATGCTAGCTAGAAACGTTTTAGGGTCACTAATTAACCCTAAACACGCGTGTGTGGGGGGAACCGGAGCGCCCGGAGTAAACCCACGCTTACATGGAGAAAATGCTGACGTCATAAAGAAAGGTTTGAGGATTTAAACCAGCAACCTCACTGCAAGACAAAAGTGTCAACATCTTCTCCATGCAGCCCCTTTTTTTTCTGGGTGTGTGCTCTAAGAGGGAGGGGGGAGTTATTCAGTAACTCACATCCAGGGACAGTCTAGTCTCTAAGTAACCTAATCATGTTGGTGTGTGTTGGGGTGTGTGTGTGTGTGTGTGTGTGATGAATTTAAGACCTGCCTTTGTGTTTCCGTAAACACGCAGGTGTAAGGAACTTTTTCAAGCGCCTCCACCTAGAAATGGTTTCCCGATTTCTTTCGGCTGTTTGTGGAAGCTCTTCTTTTGGGCTACGGTCCTCTACGGGTAAAGAGTCACTTCCGTGGAGACGTTGGCTCACTTCCTCTGAATCTGACTGTTCCAATAATTCAGTCGGTGAACTAACTTCTGTTCCCGTCTGACTGTCCTCATCAGGATCTGTCTCCAGACCCCCCACAGAAGTCTCTGGTTCCTGAGATCTAATTTCAGAACCAGGTTGAACCTCAGGACTGATTCTTTCTTTGAGCTGCTGTTTGAGGGTCTCTAACTGTTCCTTGTTCTTCTCGTTAGTTTTCATTTGGTCGAGCTGAAGATCTACGATTACTCTGCGGAGTTCCATCTCCGTTTTCTCCATAGATCTAAGTCTGGTCATCAGCTGCTCATTAAGTCTGGCAGTCTCTGTGCTGTTGACCAGCTCAGATTCCAAACTTAGTCTGATCTTTCTTTCCTTTTCAAGCTGCTTTTTAACTGTCTGCAGCTCCTGATCCAACTTCAGGTCTGACTCAACCTTCTCAGAGTTGCTTTTGTCAATCGCCTCTCTGAGTTCAGAGTTGCTCTGTTTCAAATCCAGGATCTCCTGTTTGAAACCAGAGTTCTGACTGATGACATCTCTGCTTTTATCCAGTTCAGCTTGCTGATTCAGTCTCAGCCGATTTTCTTCAGAAAAACTGACTTCAAGCTTTTCACAGAGAGAGGTTTTTTCCTGGAGCTGGAGTTTTAAGATCTCCAGCTCTTTAGAAAGCTTCTCCTCTGCCTCTGTTTTTCTAGACTTGAACATATCTAACTCATCTATAAGGTCTAGGTTCAGTTTTTTAAGAACACTAATCTCTGTGTTTAAGCTCTCATTAACTAAATCTTTGTCCAGACGGGTCTTCTGTTCCTGCTCCAACTGGACTCTCAGCTGGGACTCCTGTTCTAATGTCAGCTGCAGATTTTCACACACAGTTTCCTTTTCCAGAAGCTGATTTTGTAAATCCTGCACTTGTTTTTCAAAATTTACTACCTTATTTTGGTAATAATCCAAGCCCTGTTCTAATTCATGAATTTCTATCCTTAATTTGTGACAAAGTGAGCCGTTTGGCTTGTTTTTCTTCTCCTGCTCTAGCTTGAATCTCAGCCGCGATTCGTGGTCTAACTGTCTTTGGAGATCTTCACAAAAACGTTCGCTTTCCTGCAGGTGTTCTTTTAGAGTTTCCACGTTTTTCTGACAGGTCTCTGTAGTATTCTGGTAATAATCCAGTTCCTGTTCCAGTTGATTAATGAAATCTTTGAGCTTCTCACAGTCGTTCTCAGCCTTACATCGTTTTTCGTTTTCAGTACAATACGATTCGTCTGTCATTGCCAGCTGTGACTGAACGTCTTTCAGCTTTGTTGAAAGAAAATTATTTTTTGGTGCAACTCCAGCTGATTGATGCTGGACAAACCCAGAATGAGTATTTCGTTGCCGATTGTAAAACGTTTTAGAGCGGTATGTTCGTCTAGCAGACATAGTTCTCGAGTCTCTCAGAAGTCGATGTGTGTCTCACCAGTGGTTCGTCACTAATGAAATGAGGAGGAGCACAAGGTCCTTTTATAGCAGCAGGCTAAGTGATGTCACAAAGGATATGCAAATGAGGGGGCGGGGCATAATAGCAACAGTTGTAATCATTGTAACCAAGGAGATGGTGGCTTATTTTTGAGTCGTTGTAGTCATAGTAACCAAGTGGGCAGGGCCAATATTTTAATTCCTGGTAGTTACAGTAATGACAATGTGTGTGTGTGTCATTTATTTTCTATTTTTTGTATTTTCCTTTTTTTAAATATCTTCTTTGTTTAACCATATTTTTTTTACTCTTTCACATCACTGTTTAAGTGAAAATAATTTCTAATTTTTAAGTTTATTTTCATTTATTCACAAATAAAAACAAAACACAAAACAGGTTTGCAAAAACAAAAAATGAAAAAGGAACAGAAAGAAGCAAAACTTATGTTATCTGTTCCCCTTAACCAAAATAAATACAAATGACAACAAAGTTATTATAGTTAAAAAAAATGTCTGACCCGGTTTACTGTTTTAACTTTGGCAAAAAATGGAGAGAAAACAAATATGCACACTTTTTTTTTCTTTTCATATTGATGAAAGGAGAAAACAAATAATGCAAAATAAAACACACAAAAAATAATAGCTAAAAAGAAACAAAAGTAGAACATACAATGTGTGTTTTCCCTTTCATTCTCTACTTCATAAATATGTCTATCTCATAGCATCATATAAGCTAAGCATTTCATTTTTGATATGTTTATTAAAGGTATATATTGTTTTGGTATTCTTGATTTCGGTTGGGGCAATCATGCCAATGTCACCCTGTCATGATTTTAGCTCATCTTTATTTTTACTTCAGTTATAGCAGTCAGCATTCTGCAAGAAATGCAATTTATCTAGTTATTAAGGGACCAGCTTCTGCTTCAGCAAGCAGGGTCCTATTGTTATGCAACAGGGGAGGTTTCAACATTAATCTCCTTTATTATTATTTTTTTTTATTTTTTTTTTATTATTATTATTACTCCATGGACACATTTTGGCACAATAGGTTCTGTGGAGGAAAATGGAGAAACCAGCAAAGACACAAACCATTGTAAAAGGCAGAAACGGTCTAAAGGTTGTGATCAAGAGTGAAGCTATGATCAGATTTGCTAATGCGTAGCACACTCACAATCAAGTAGAGTTCAGACAAAAATACTGGTCGTGAATGACTAAACTACAAGTAGAAGAAAATATCCCACCATCCCATTTATTTGTTTACGTCTGCAGCGGTATGGAGCAGAACCCCAGCAGATACCTGGAGTGTGGGTTTTGCCTTCAGTCTGCTCCACATGCCACAGCAGGGCTCTGGCAAGCCGATGTAGCATGTAATTCACAAATGTTTCTATATTTTAATACAATGTAGACTGGATTATATTGCCAACCCATACATGGTAAAATAGATATGCCGCCATTACATTGTTACCAGTAGAAATTAAGTGTTATTAGCATTTTGAGTAACTTCCTACTGAACATGTTAATGAAATTAAATTCTACTGTTCATATGTGGATGTATTTAAATCTGTTATTTTGACTGGGATGAGTGATATTAATACAAACCTAGAATGTTAATGAAATGAAAATCAAATTTTGTTCCATAAAATATTAATCAACTATGAATATTAAATGGAAAAGAGGGAACTAGACAACACCGATTTAATATGTATTGTTGATTCTTTTATAATTTTGTTTTTTATTTTCATATTTTGGCAGCAGACCACAGTTTTGTTTCGCATGAAACATCGTCAAATAAAATAGTTGATTAACGGATGAAGGATTCGAAGTGAATATGAAAATATTGAATAGCTGCAGCCCTAGTTGTGTTGCTGTTATCCAGTCCGAGGCCAGATGTCTAAAATATCAGGAAATAAGTCTTAAAACCTGCCGCCTGAAACTCAGCAGTGATGTGGCTCACTTCTAAGTTCTGAAAATGGTGCACTGTATTTTTTTGCGCGTGTGTGTGTGTGCGTGCGTGCATGTGTGTGTGCGCGTGTGTGATTTATATACGTTAATTCAGACAAGAAATTAATTCATGTAAAATAATTGTGGTTATCGTGTTATTTCTCAGACTATAATCGTAGCACCAACATTTATAATCATTGCAACCCTAGATTTAGATGTAGACATTTTTGATGCAACATTGATTTACAGCAGTTTTTTCTCCATAATTACTGCTAAGGAATTTGTGTTCCGACACTCGTCCTGCTTCATCGTTTACCAGATTCTTTAACTGTACAATTGTTGAAATGGTTACCAAAAATTACCATTTGTGTTATATTTAGGTATTTTTGCATCAACCCAACACTTGAACTTATTTGTCCCACTTCTATTATGTCTAAGATCTATAATGTAAACATCAATGCCAGTTCCTCTGTGAATATTTTGGTTTGTTTCTTATCTGTAAACCTGCTAGAAGATCGAGACGACAGAAAACTGAAAGGATGGCGAACTCTAAAACAAGAGGACTTGTGAGGAAATGTAAGTTAAAACCCTCCAGATATTTTTAACCCCCTCATGTTCATGTCTGCACCGGCTGACCTCATGTGGATGTTTTCTCCAGGTAACAACAATGACCCGTCTTCTTTGGGCAGAAAAAAGGTTGGTTTAAAAAATAATAATAATAAAACCAGTAAAAATCTTTGCCACATTAGTAAAATATCCTAAATATGTTTTGTCTTAGTTCCTAAGTAATGTACATTAGTAATATCTCAGAATATTGTGTGGGTTTTTGTCCCACCATTACTGCACACAGTTGTCCCTTATTCTCTCATTTTACACTGTTGCACAGTTTTAGCCTTGTCTCTTATTATCCCATCACCTGTGTTTGTTATCCAGGTGAGGGCAATCGAGTGCTGCACCCGGTCACCGATTCCCTCAATAACACCAATGCAGGAAGTGTAAGTTACACAACACTTGCATATAAGTTAGAATTTACCTAACTAGATGTTGGAGTTAAAGTTACTTATGGTACACTTTAACCAATAGGGTGGTTCTGGTTTACCTGGTATGAGTTATTTGATTGTGGTCCTACAGAGAAGATCCTGTCTGGCTGATGGAGGACGGACCATTTGACACTGAATTAAAACTCTGCAAACCGCAGGCACAACATTGCCCTTGGCTGTCGTCTGCTGCTCCCATTCCTGCTGGCGGCACTTTAAGGTAACACTATACCTGACAACTTCCTGTGTTGGATTCTTTAAGGTGACTGAATCCTGTGTTTGATGCTTCAAGCTTCCTCAACTTCTCTATTAGACCAGGAAGCCCTGGAGGCCCGGTATCCAGCATGTTTTGGTTGTTTCCCTGCTTCAACACCTGATTTCAATCAGCAGGTGATTAACAGGCTTCTGCAGTTCCTGATGAGCTGCTGAACAGGTGATTCAACCAATGAATCAAGTGTGTTGGAGCAGAGAAACCACTTCTTTTTTCAATACGCTCCTCTGCTTTTTCTATAAATTTCTTTACCATCCTCCATCTCAGTTATTACACCTGCCTGCTGCCAACTTTGTGGCTTCATGTGTTAATATCTAATCATTCTTGTGGCTAATCTGTTTCCATCGTAAAGAGAACTTAATCATTTGTAAATAGGAGAAACGTGAAAATAAGAGAAGTTTCAGTGTTTAGTTTGATTTTGCAGGCAGCTTTCTCATGGACGTGGTTGGAACAACAACAGGTTTCCATTTGGACCCACCTCGTTGCCCTTTACCTCCAGTTCACCGTTTAGACCAAGGCCTTTTGGTGAGTCGTGTCCGACACTTTGAATAGTCGAGGTTTAGGCTCCTTATGATTAGATTTATTTACAGCTCAGAGGGTTACCATTTGATAATTAAAAGGTTATCATGTAACTTTTTGGTACTTTTAAAGCAAAATATTTTAATTACCCAAATTAAATTACTTCCAATAATCTAAGAATCTAGAATGAAGCTACATTTTTCTTTGCTGTACTGAAATCAGATTTCATACATACATGTTTTTTGACTTAATCTTATTTTAAATGAAGTGATGCAAGTGAATGGTGAACTCTGATAGAAAAAAAACAAACTTAATGAAGATATAGTAGAAAGTTCTGAGTTAAAGGAAATTATGATCGTCAACTTTATTCATCAAGAGTTTTTCATCGGCTAGGAGGCGAACCAAAGCGCTGTACATGCATAAAAGAGTTTAAAACATCACTGACCCAAGCAAAAGCCCACAAAATATACATTAAGAGACTTAAAAACAAAAACAGTATCTTGATTCTGACTCAGAAAGAATCCGGGAGCCAAAGCAGATGAGCATAGACGAGCGTGATTTTTTCCCGCTTCCTGGTGCCAGTCAGGAATCTAGCTGTGCAAGCTGGAGCGGGACAAGTGCAGCCTTGCTAACTCCTGAGTAGAGGGAGTTGCAGTAGTCTAAACGAGAAGTAATAAAAGCATGGACTACAGTCTCCAAGTGAGCCCACGACACCAGCGGCTTGATCCTGGATAGGTGGCGAAAATGGAAAAAGCCACCATGCATCACTCCATTAATGAATCTCCAGCAAATGAAGTAATTTAAAGGCAGAAGTTTGTATTAAGTCCCTAACAATGAGCAATATTCACTTGTTTTCATTTGATTTAAAGAACACTTTTAAGTATTACAGGCCTCATGGTCCAGTTAAGTTACAGTTTGTTTCCTAATTTAGGCAAAGTTAGTTTCCACAGACAGAAAAACATGTTTAGGTTGTTGTGATCTCATGCAGGATATTAAACTGTTTATGAAAAAAGTCCAAACTAGGGATGTAAGAAACTATTGGTATGGCAATATATTGTGATATTTTTTGCAGCGATATTATGTCGATATTCAAAAGCCGTGTATCTAATTTTCGGAAGAGTTTACATGCAAAGATTTGTGTGTGTTTTTTTTTTCTTTATTTTATTATTTTTTTCTTTATTTGGTGCAATTCAAATGCCGACCGCTTATTGGTAGCAGTGTGCATCAGGGTTTTTTTTTTCACCATTGAAATGTAAATCCATCTATTATGGTTCAGATTCCTCAGTTTGGACTGTTTATCAAATCAAATCAAACATTTTTTATATAGCACTTAATCATACAATGCATGCAACTCAAAGTGCTTAACAAATTAAAAAGGCCCCGCATACTCACATTCCCTCCCATCCCCAGAATTTTAAAAACAGTCTGACAATAAAAACCCCTTCACAACACTCATCCTCCGGCACAGACTCACGCACACACACGCATACATGCACACGCACACACACACATACATGCACACGCACACACACACATACATGAACACGCACACACACACATACATGCACACACACACATGCCGCCACCCCCCCATGGACAAAACACAATGGACTGAGTTCAGATGAGCCAGACCAGCTAAGATAAGGAAACGCCATCAGGGGAGCCATCTGCCCCAACAGCAGCAGATCCACAGCTGCAGCCAAGGCTCCGACACAGGGCGCCCAGGGCAGGGAGGGCGGAGTCCCCCACCTCCACCCAGGCACACCTGGAAAGCACCCAGGCCACCACAGCTGATCACCGCCCCCAGGGCAGAGGGCTCCCACAGAGGAAACACTGGAAAAAGGTTAAATTAAGGTTAAAACATAAAATAATAAGAGCTAAGATGAGAATTGTAATATAAAAAGTTATATAGATATTAAAATAATGATGATCATAAATCTATAGTAAAAAAACTGTTTAAAAAATAGCACATATAAAGGAAGAATACATGAAATAAATAAATAGATAAACAAATAACCTAATTAATTAATTTCTTTATTTCAAAAGCGATAGTAATCAGTTAAAAGCTAAGCTAAAAAGATGGGTCTTGAGCCTGTTTCTAAAAACATGAACGTTCTGCGGCCCTGAGGTCCCCTGGCAGCTCATTTATTGAATATTCCTAAAATAAATTAAGTCTAAAAAAATTGCTAATATCGTCCGACTGATATTGTACTGATATATTGTACTGTCTGCCCGTATCGTGATACAATACACATCCCTAGTCCAAACTAATAAAACCTTTGACTCTATGAAAAACGTGTGAGCCCTTGGAAACAACTTTAAAGTTGCACGGGTTCCAACTGTTGCTACAATCTTGGACAGACTAATGAACTGGAGCAGCAGAGAGGAGAGAGTGTGCGCGTTACTCAAGCTGCTTGCTTCAGCGAAGGAAAAACCCTTTTTGACAAACACCGGTCTCTCTCAACTGTCTGTGCTCCTTAGGTTTACACTATTCTTCAGTCATGACTCAGACTCCATTTTTATTGCAGTTAGAAACCATTTTATGTGCTCCTCATAAACGGTCCGGGCGCTACACTTTGCACTTCAGAGTTTCACTTTTGTTTTCATGCATCATTAAGAAATGTTAATAAAATTAGTTTTTAAATTTTTAAACAAATACAGAATGTCTACATGATAAGGCATCAAACATACATGGTATCCCTCACCTCCTTTTGAACACACCCTTAGTTTTGGAGAATCATCTTCTTACAGATAAAATCCCTTTAAAGTTTCTTTATAAGATGGTTCCTTCTCTCTTGTAGTATTTCAGAGTGTTGTCTGCGCCATCACATGTCCCAAAGGAGGAGAGAAGCGAGGCGGCAGGTCTTCATCGTCCAAAGCACCCACCAAACAGCCAGAGTCTCTACCCTCTAGAAGATCTGGACGCAACAGTAGAACCCAGGAGGAAAGTCCTGCATCAGATTCAAAATCACCAAGAAAGTTGAGTGTGTCGGACTCCGACTCATCTGCTGGTCAGTCTACCAAGCCGACCAAACCATCTCAGGTGCCGATCAAGAGGAAAGGTAAACGGGTAACAAACCGAAAGGCCAGTGGAAAACGAAAAGCCACGAGGAAAAATTCTTGCAGCACAGCAGCAAGTGAGGAGGAGGAGGAGGAGGAGGAAGAGGGTGACGGAGGTGACAGCAATGAGATGATGGAAGATCCTCTTAAAGAGCAGGAGGTGAACAACTCAGAACAGCCGCATAATGATGCTGAAGGCGTCCTCAACGAAGAACAGAGTGGACTCTACTCTGATGATGCAGAAGGAGGTGCTGAATCTTTGAAGATTGAGGAAACTCACGATGAGACTCAGGAACAATCTGGTGAACAGCAACAAGAGGAAGAGGCTGGTGAAGACAACAGCAAGCACTCCTGTTCCTCCCCCTTAGCTTGTGACAGCCCCATCTCTGGCTCTGAGGACAAGAGAGAAGAAGAGCCAGCTAGTTCAGTTACTATCCAAGAAAAAGAGGATGAGGAAGAAGCTTCACATTCCCCTACCGACTCTCACAACACTCTACTAGAACCCCCGATGTCTCCTCAGAGCGGGGAGCACACGGAGCAGGATAACGACATGGAGATTAGTGTACCGTCTCAAGAAGCCCACCATGAAGACTCTTCAGAAGATTTAAAGGATAGCGTATGCAAAGACTTGACTCAATCTGGTTTCCCAAAAACTGAAGAGCCTGAGGAAAATATAGCCAATCAAGAAGCAGGAACTTCTAAAGAAACTAACTTTGAGATTCCTGAATCAGCAGAATGTTTAGAAGATAAAAGCGACGAACCTAAGGAGAATGCCATGCCCAAGGAAGACACCACAACACCCAAGGAGGACAACGTGCCCCAGGAAGATCTAACAGTGTCCAAGGAGGACACTGCTCACCACGAAGTCACAACCCTCATGGATGATTGCATGTCCAAAGATGACACAAATGTGGTGCCCATGGATTGCGGTTCACCCATGAGCGAGCATGGGAATGATTTAATTTTTGAACCTTCAAATGACAAGACTACTGTTGCTGCTGCTGCTGCTGCAAAGCTACCTGCTCCAGAAATTCAAGTCGCCAAGGACGATTTTACAAAAAGACATCAGGAGAGAGAGAGGAGCCAAGAGAGGAAGAATGGAAAACAGCGGCGCTCTCGCTTCCACTCTCCAACATCCACCTGGTCGCCTCAAAGGGAGGCAAAGAAGGAACCATCTAGACGTTCTCGGTCAAGAGAACGTGATGGTAGTTTGCCCTCAAGTCAGCCCTCACGAGCTCGCAGCAGAGACAGAGATAGGGACGGAGAGCGAGACTACTCCAGGAGGGACCGAAGTCGTGAGAGGAGAAGGCGACGATCCAGGAGCCGTTCTAGATCGAGATCTAGGTCTCGATCTAGATCCAGATCTCGATCAAGAACCAGATCATACCGAAGAGGGCCCAGCCCTGAGAGAGGACTGTCCAGGGAACAGTCTCCCCAGAGGAAGGAACGTAGGAGTGGCTGGAGGTCTGGTCCTGGAGGTGGTTCTGGTCAAGACGGACGCAGACAAGGAGGCGCTGGCCGCTTTGAAAATGGTGTCCCTCCTGAAAATTCTCTTGATCGCCAAGGCTGGTCAGAAAATCCTGACTGGGTCACAGAAAAGACCCGGGGGAACGCTGAAGTCAGGAGCTGGGACAGCGTGGGCTCACGCTGGGGAGATCAGCACAGGAGCGGAGGAAACGGGGTGGAGCCACGCGGTCGGACTGGTCGCACAGGGTTTGAACGTGGCGGGGGTGCGGGGCAGGGTGGCAACTGTAGCTTGTACAACCAACAGGAAGAATCTGGTGACAGCCGCTGGCAGCCCAGAAACAACTTCTCAGGAACAGGCAACAATTCAGGGAACGACTCCTACAGCCGCTTTAACGAAAACCGGGGAGGCGGTCGTAAGAAGGAATCAGATGCAGGAGACTCTATGCTTGATCGGTCAGGCTGGTCCTCAGCATCCAGCTGGGCTGTGAGGAAGACGCTCCCCGCCGATGTGCAGGATTATTACTCCAAGAGGGAGAGAGGCGGACCCAGCAGCTGGAACCGACAAGAGGAAGAGACGCAGTCGCTGCTGGTAGCAGGTTTGTCTCGAGTCTCCTCATAGCCTTGATCAACAGAACTGTTCAGTTGTTTGTAAAAAGCTCTTGACTGATCTTTATGTGTAATCCCTGCTATGAAGAAGCATTACACAAAGCAGGAATCAGAAACACCAGCTAGTGTTATTTTAAGTCAACAATGTTTATAAACCACACTTCTTACAATGTTTGACTTCTTTAACCTGCTTTAACTACTTGACCGGGTATTGAAGTCACCCCACCCACTGGAAGATGAGGTGATGACTTCATTTTATTCTACTGTTACAAATATTCAGTTTTTAGTCTTAAAGTAATCTGAATAAAAGTCGCAAGAGATTTCAAACATGAAGATGACAATATGGTCTGCTTAAGTCCATCTGCCGCTCCTGATGAAACCCGCTTGGTAGAAAAGCCGCTGAACATCAACAACAGAACAGTTGCTCCTGTACTGACTAAATTATGTGTAAGTAACCAATTGTGTTTTTGTTTTTAAATTCCCAGATCCCCCAAAGATCGATCCATCTCCCCAGGTCATCCCGGGGAACGCTCCGGTGGCTGTGATGAGTGTGCTTCCTCCTCATCCGTCTCAGATGGGTGTTCTTCACCATCAGTACCCGATCCAGACCCTGCCAGTGACCCTGCAACCTGCAGCACCCTACGCCATGCCACCCCAGGTCCCAGTGCACGTCCACCCTGCCGTACCACTGCTTCAGTTGCCTGCTGTTGGCGCTCAGAGCCTTCCACCCCCTCCGCCGCCGCCTCCCCCCATGCAGGCTGGCAACCAGACTTCACTCACAACAGCTCAGCCTGATGGTCACACAACTCGGGTAAAGGATGCAGTAGACCGTTATTTGAACTCAACTGAAACTAAACTCCAGTTTTAGATGTTTCTCTACTTTAACTCACTAATATGGCTTTCGCTCATTAGTGGGAGGTTGTTCTGAAAATCATCTTATCAGTGTAACAACGAATAGCGACCTTGATGAGTCATAAATCATTTGCATATTTATTATTGTTATTGCCTATAAAATTAAAGCATTTAAATACTTTTTTCTCACTAACTTTATAGATGTCTTAACATGTTCAGTTGCCCAACGTTCTTTTTTTATGGCCTCGTGTATTCTGAGCAGTCGGCAGAGTCCTTCACTGATCGTTTAGCAGCAATACTTTTTATGCCAATGAATTTGTCTTCCGGATGGAACATTGCTTACTTCCAAGTCTGTTTTGCAACACGTACATTTATTTACATCAACAAAAAGCTAGGAATCTTGTGATTCCAGTGATGTATGGCAGTCAGGTAGTCTAGAAATCTTCACCAGCTGTAGTAAAAAGATTTTAATCTGCAGGTCGAACTAGCCACACTCAACTGCAGCCTCAGCAGTTCTACCATTGGCTTGATCAGTTTTTGTGTCGCCAATCACAGTGCTCTGTTTGTTGGGCTGGCTTTGCACAATATCTGAGAAATACTACAAAGATGGCGTCAGTTTAGGAACGACGCTCATTTTGAAACGGCTTTAACATCCACGTTTGAACTCTTTAGACTTGGACTCTTCTTTGAGACATGAGCAGATTGAGGTACTTAAGTACTTTATTTAGAAAAAAACATGTATTTGCTTCTTCGATCGTGTTTAGCAGGCTTCCCTGTTGACTTATTTCTGTAGTGATGAGTATGTTACGTTGTTTGTTGCTCTGACTGGTTCTAGCACTGTCCAGTTGCGTGCAGAGACAGTTTGAAGGACAACCGTAAATTCCACCCCACCAGATTGTTTCAAAGGCTCGTGGCAAAACTATAAATTTACACATGTAGGATGTGGCCAACCGATAAATCGGTCTACCTCTAATTCATATGTTGCCTGACCTTAACGTGCAGCCTCTTCTCCGACTGTAAAATTGTAAAACTCACAACAGACGTGAATCTTAAGTAGGTCATGTTTTTGCCCTGCAGTTTAAAATCAGTCTATTACCAGGGCTGCCAACTCTCACGCATTTGACCCTCTTCACATGCTCTCACGCCACACCTCCAGTATGTCACGCTGCAGCATCAACCCCGCGCTCTCATGGCAAGCTTACAGAGTCGAGCCGGTCCCGTCTCCCCGGCTCTCTCGCATTGAACAGTTCAAAAGTTGGCAGCCTTGTATTATTACATATTTAGTAATTAATTAGCTGTAAAGTTTGTACCTGTTTTAGTATTTCTGAGTGTATTTTAACACATTCTTGAAACATTTCTTCTCAGTATCATGATTTTTATTCAGTTTTATTTGTAATATTAATAAAACTAAACTAACAAAACTAATTGAATGGATTTGGATTTGAAAGTGTCTAATAGTCTCTGTGTTGCTGTAGATGGTGAGCACAGTTGTTGGTTTCATCAAACCCACGCTCCTTCCTACTCCAACCAAAGTAAGTGTTGCCGCGGTGACCCAAGGCCAGGTGCAACCATCCTCTACCACTCAGTCCAGCCAGCATAGCAAGGCTCAAGCTGACAGCTCCAAAAAGGAAAAGGTACCTACCAGAAACCCTGACTCTTTCCACATAAGTCGAGTTTTTACCCACCACTCCTGTTTTGTGTTTGTCTCAGAAACAACAGATCCAAGAGAAAGCTGTAAGTGAAGTTAAGACCGCCATCAAACCGTTTTACCAAAAGAAGGAAATCACAAAGGAGGAGTACAAGGAGATTGTCAGGAAAGCAGTAGAGAAGGTAACCACACACACACACACACACACGCACGCACTCACGCACGCACGCACGCACGCACACACACACACACACACACACACACACAATGAATCAGGTGATAAATGCCACAAGTAAAACTTGATCTGGTTCTCTCAGGTTTGTCACAGTAAGAGTGGAGAGGTGAACTCCAGTAAAGTGGCCAACCTGGTAAAAGCTTACGTGGACAAATACAAACACGCCCGCAAGAAATGACCTTCTGCTGGAGCACGACGCCCTCATAGACCCAATCTGCTGCTCAAGTGCAATTTCCTCCTGCTGGAGTTTGGCCTCCGAGGTGAACGACGACGGAGAGCCAGTGTGGTCTTTTCTTTTGATATCTTAACTTTTATTCAATGAAGATTTCTTTTTTTTTTTAAATAGATTTACATATTTTGTTAGAAAAGAATGAATTCATCACAAATTGTAATGCAAGAGCCCTTTATTTTGCATAACTGACCAGACTTGGGGACTACTGGATGAAGCAACACAGCTTGGAGAGCTTGGATGATGGATACTCAAGATAAGGGTGGTCTGGAGTCTTCTGTAGCATCCTGATTGCGTTAATCGATATTTGAATATTAAAATCTTTTTAAGAAAAGTATATTAATTCAAACAAACTCCTGGTCAAAAAGTGCTTTGTCTTTATAATGAAGCTTTGTGGCCCAATGAAGGGCTGGAATCTGCTGACTGATTGTAATCTGGTCCCTGATTGGATCCAAGGTGACAACCCCAATTAGCAGTGGGTGTTTCAGGTTTTGTCTGGAGACGAGGGGGTTGAACATGACCCCGCCCCCTTTTGAATGTGTAATAAGTACTTATTTGTGAACACGAACTGTCCCAAGTATCCTGAGAGCAGTGGGGGAAAAAATCAGCTGCTTTATTGTGTGCTGTTCATCAGAGAAGGCTCTGACTGCAGGTGAAGGGTGCATCTACAGCTCTAAGCCACCAGGTGGCGCTACAGCTCCTGTTTCTGTGTAAATGCTTAGTTTTAATTTTAATGCTCAGTATCTCATATTTACTTTTTGATAATTTTTGTAGAAAACCGTATGATATTTGCGCTCTTTGAAAGGAAGTTTGACTGTGCACCACCCAGTGAGCCCCTCAGAGTAATGTGGCTTTTGTCCCACTGTCTAGAAACAATACGTCTGTTTTCCTGAACACAAAAGATCTAAATAAAAACCACGGTTTTATTTCATTTGTTTGCTTCAGTCTGGTGTTGTGATAGTTGAATGCGGAAAGAATTAATCAATCACCTATTAGAGCAAACTGAATTAACGCATAAACAAAATTAAATGTTATAGTTTGATGCTTGAAATTTAAAGAGAACTGACAGCAATAGAAATGTTAATGCTGCTGCCAATGGGGCATTGCGGTCATATCAACTTGCTGGGCGAAAACCAGAAGTTATTTAGACAAATGCCTAGAGCTGTGAGCGGCAGAAGACACTGAAACTTGGGTGCAGATATAAAGAGTCTCTTCAACAAAACCTTTCTAGATAGTTTGTGATTTATGAAGCGGAGATTGCGTGAAGCTGTGCGGACTCCATGTTTTATAGGTCACAAACCTACTTGGCGTAAGTACATTTTTTTTTCTTTTTTTTTTTTTTTTTTGCTGAGCTTAAGTATGGTTTTAGTAAGGATTCAATGCAATGTTTGGTAAATGAGACCCCAGGACACGTTGAAGCTAATCTGCCATTTTGGCTGTTAATACAGCCACACAAGGTTACACAGGTGTTGTAAAATCAGCATCTCATTGAAATAATAACCATATTTTGTTGCTATTTTTTATAATTCATTAATGAAACGTTTTTTAAACGTGACAACAAAACTTCTAATTTTAGGTGAGAGAATAAACATCGAATTCTAATCTCTGAAAAAGTCAGATCTAATCTAATAATAGTTTCTTAGACTTACTTTTTGCCTCAAATTTCTGAATAAGTGATCAAAGCTTAAATTTATTATTATTTCTTCACTGTGCTTTAAGGGGCTCAGCATGTAGGTAACTGAAACCGCAGCACCTTGTCTGTTAGAACCTTCATTGTGTTTATCGAACGTTTAATTCGTGAGTTTACAGCATTTTCTCCTCCGTGCTCCCTCACGCTTGTTTTGGTGGTTCGAGAACTTTCCACACACGCTGCGGATCTGCGTTAAAGTCCCGCCTCCGTTTGATTGACATCAACACGGAAAACTGTCAATAATGCGGGAAAGTGAGTCACAATTTGCGGGACACGTGAAAAGTACTGAAAATGCGGGAGTATCCCGCACAAAGCGGGACATCTGGTCACCCTACGGTCATGTAGCACGAAACACCGCAGACTGGTTTGGAAATTCCTTCACGAATGCTGCCAACGGCCACATCCTCTCAGCTAATCCAACAGGGAGGAATCTCTGCGCCTGGTATTTGGTCGTTACGGTGCAGCGTTAACTTCTCTTCTGTACATCCGAGCCATGACACAATGGCAGCAGGAGTTGACCTTCCTCGTGTTGGGCGTTCCTCTGCGGACCACTAGAGGACAGCAAGACTTCTACACTGAAGTTGTTTGTAATTCTGTTACCAGGGAGATTTCTTACAATTAAATCAATGTTTGTCTGTCTGGTTTGAGGGCAATCATCTTCATCAACCATCCCAGAAGATGTAACTCCACAAATCCTTAAGAGCTAATGAAATGAATCAGCTTGTGAAAATAATTCATGTTTTTTCAGATAAAATGCATTGGTAGTTTAAATATTAGGTGATATCATCAGTATTAGGTTGGACGTCCTTTTGCCTTTAGATCTATCTCATTTCTTCTTGCTACAGATGTTCTGATTGATTTTAACATGAAAGCATCACAATGTTGCTACAGATTTTTCAGCAGCATTGTCATGTGAGTGTCCCATTCCAGATTAGAACTGGGTTCCAAGGTCAAAACATCTACTGACCAAAAACAAAACAACACAAAGACTTGTCTCACAGGTTTGTTCTGTAGAAGTGACATATGTATTCACAACTTTTGCGACATCTCTCCCCTAAGGGGCGAGCCCCCCACTTTTGGAGCACGTGCACTAAACCGAGTCATGGTCATACATGGTAGTGGTAGTGTGATGGTCTGGTGCTGCTCCAGGACCACTTGATGTTAAAGACTGAACCATGGATTCTGATCTCTCACAAGACCTGAAGGAGAATATCTGACCTTTGACCTAAACAGGCCGTTCCATTATAGCTGAATTAGAAATTACTTCAGGCTAATGTGAGGGCATGAACATACTGTAATTTAGTCTGATATAACATACTGAGATACTTAGATCTGATACAATTTACTGTACAACTCACAGCTGCTCTTGATGAACATAACATCTATGATAGCTTCCAGTCAGGTTTTTGTAGAGCTCATTCTACTGAAACAGCTCTTCTTAGGGTCTCTAATGACCTTCTGACTCACAGTGATGCAGGGGACTGTTCTGTTCTGGTCCTGCTGGACCTGACTGCAGCCTTTGACACTGTTGCCCATCACCTGCTACTGGAGAGGCTGAGAGACAGGGAAGGCCAATCAGGATCTGCTCTGGAGTGGTTCTCCTATCTGTCTGAGCATTCCTTCTCTGTAGCCGTCTCAAAGTTTCGGTCCTCCTCCACCCCCCTCACCCATGGTGTCCCACAAGGATCTGTGCTGGGGCCTCTACTTTGCTTCCTCTGCAGCACATCCTGAGCTCCTTTAAAGGAATCTCCTACCATCTTTATGCAAATGACATCCAACTGTACATCTCCTTTAAGCCCCATGAGATGTCTAAGTTGCAGCTGTTACACATCTGCTTAGACTCTATCAAAACCTGGATGGCTGGGAGCTTTCTTCAGCTGAATGAAGATAAGACAGAGATCCTCGTCTGTGCCCCAGACAAGCTGGTTCCCAAAGTCAGAGACTCTCTTGGTCAGCTTGCCTCTCACACCAAACCTTCCATCAGGAATCTTGGCGTGACCTTTGACCCAGCTCTCACCCTGGATTCTCATGTCAGTTATCTTGTTCACTCTTCCTTCTTCCATCTCAGGAACGTTGCTAAGCTGAGCTCCATTCTGTCCTGCTCTGAACTTAAGACAGTTATCCACACCTTCATACATTGGTGACTTTCTCAGTCCCTACACCCCCAGCAGGTCCCTGAGGTCCAGTGACCAAAGCCTACTGGTTGTGCAGCGCACCAGGCTAAAGACCAAAGGTGACAGATCATGTGCTGCTGTGGCCCCCAGACTCTGGAACTCTCTGGGCCTGAGATCAGTGGACTCAGTGGTCTCCTTTAAAAAGCAACTGAAACTCACCTGTTCAAGCTGGCTTTTGTGTGACCTTCAACACCACCCTCTCCTTATTCTGCTCTTTCTACCTTTCCCAGGATCCACTGATTTCCCTCTTTCCTTTTCCTTACATTTTTATTCACAAGTTTTTTTTCTTTCTCATTTTTACGATATATCTTTAATCATTTAAGTTTTTTATCCTTTTAATTTTTTTACTTTTGTTCATGTGAAGCGCCTCGTGATATTTTCTTGAGTCACCAGATCATTTTCTTTCTTTTCCTTTCAAAGGGTAGTTTAGGACCATTCACGATTTCTACTTCATTCTGTAGGTTAGGTGGAACTTGATGTAAGTTAGATCTAATGAACGCATTTAAAACTTCTTCCTTTTCACTTTTTAAATCAAAATAACATCCTTTTGTCAGACTTGTCATCAGTTATTACAAACACCTGATTATCGTTATTCCTTCCTGGTATCCACCCAACACATTTGCACATAGTGTGTGTGTGACACTCTCGATTGCATTGCACCCTTTTATTATACATTCATTGCCTCCAAGGGTAGTTATTAGGTTTATGGGCTCACTTTATCATTGTCCCTTTAATGGATTAAATCATTTCAAAAGGCACTTTATATTTACGGAGGTATTTCCTTTGCCTGAAATTGAAATGTATTTATTTTATTTGTTGATGCTTCTATAGACACAAACAGGCCGGCACTAGAGCTCAGGTTCTAGAGTGTAGTTGATTTTATTTGGACATTTATTACAAAATATACAATGTTTCATTGAAACAAGAGTTTAGAAGCGATGGAACTGGTGTTCTCTTGAACCGCGCTGGGCGACAAGAACGTTTTGCTGATCCATCATCTTTGTATTCAGGGGCTTAAAAAAACCGCATCACAAATTCACCTTTCGTCTCGTTTGCAGCTCTAAACCACTCTTATTAAAAAGTGAAAATTAAAATATTTACACTTGATCAATAGATTATATGTACACACATATATACACACACAAACGGTATATAAATACAATAAAATACATCAAATTACACTGATTTAACGGTCTCCCATAAATAGTTGACAGAACAGTTTTTATGATGCGTGTTGGATGAACAGTGGGCCGTTTTGTGACATTTCGTGTTCTTCATGGTGAAACGTTCAGACAGCACAAAACGTGCAACCACACTCAATAACACTCAAACCTCAAGATCACGGCCGTGAAAGATCGTACCCGACTTTGCTGCGGTGTTTGCAAATGTAACAATACTACAACCACTGAATGTGGTCAAATATGAAGTATTCTCCTATACAGAAAAAAAATTCTACGTTTCCCTTCTCCCCGCTGCGGAGCGGAGAGGTGGAACCGGAAGGCTCAGCGGCCTGAAAGCAGTAGTGTTGTTGCTGCGCGTGTTGTTCCAAGATCTTCAGGAAGCTTTAGTGTAAATACCGTTTACAAGAGTTCCAATAGATGTATATATATAATACTCTGCAGTCGTCACAGTCTGGTTGTGTTCACCGGTATACGTGAGCCTCCAACATTTAAACAAGATCCAGAGTCTTAGTAAAAATACTGAAGAGTTGGTGAAAATGTGCTGAACTCTAAGTGCTTTTAAATATACAAAGATGCCTCAAACACACAAGCACACACACATTTTTGGCAAGGTTAAAAACAGAAACTTAACAAAAACTGCGAGAAAGATTTTCAAGTCTACACGTGGCCTCCTGTCAGTCTTCACTTGCTGAATTCAGAGGTAAAAAAAAGAAAACCAGCTACAGCTACGAGGCACATACTTGTTTTTCTGCTGTAACTTTATATATATATATATATATATATATATATATATATATATATATATATATATATATGAAAAGGAATGAGAACGATTAAAAAATATACAACAAAAGAGAAAAAAAGCAAGTAAAATCACCATCTCTGTGGTCTACAACAACCTATTGTACAAAGTTCAAATGCATTCTCTTGGAATGACTGGACCTGTTGCTCAGTGGGTTAAAGCGGAGCATCAAGTCCATTTCTGTGGGGTTTCGCTTCTTTATTACCGGTTTTGATCTTGGTTGTGCATTTGAGTCCAGCTCTCAGAGCTTCCACTCCCACAGCAGGACGACCTCTAGTGCTTTGTTTTGTCTACGCTGTTGGCGACCCAGTCATAGATGATGAGAGTCATGCTGCCAAACATCACTAGGATTCCACTGACCAGGAAGAGGAGAGCCTGAGGAGGAAATAAAGAGCACGATTAGCAGGGTTACTTTTTCTAACAAACCAGGTAATGTGCTTTAGAAAGGTTCCTGATTTATTTGATCAGAAACTAAACAGACTTCAAAAACAACTCCTTTGATGAATTCTTACCCCAATTTTTTGCACAGACTTCATCGACTCCTTCTTGACCAGTTTGATGTAGAAAGCCGAGGGTAGGATGAAGACCAGCATGGAAGCAGCAGAGGCGCCTGACAAAAAGAAAATCACAAAGGTTACATTAACCTAGTAACAAAATCAAATTACATTTGAGAATTTTACTACTAAATTTTAAAGACTTCCTCAAAATCTATATAGATCTTCTGCCCTCTGCTGGGGAATGTAAGAGTTACAAGAACTTAATATTGTTTCAATATTAACAATACATTTTTTGTTTTAACCAACAGGTCTTCTGCCCTCTAGTGGGAAATCTGCTAACTACAGGTAAAAAGTACCCATTCTTTTAAAAACTATATTTTATTATTGTTATCTAATACATTTTCTGATATTTCCTGTTTTAGGCTGTGAATGGTTGAGACACCTCTGCCCAGTAACTCATGAGGATACTAACCGAAGAAGCCAAACATATCCTTGATGGTGGGGACAAAGATGACCAGAGCGTTGGTGCCACCCAGCAGAACCAGGGTGATGATGAAGTGACGAACCCAGCTGAAGTCCTTATGGGAGCCCAGGAGGTGGATGATTGAGGTACGAATCTGTGGAGAAGAACAGAAGGGTCACCTCAGAGGTGTTACTTCTACTGACAGATCGTAGAAGTGACTCAAGAGTCCTAAAACTTACGGGGAAGAGAACCACGGGGACAGTGAGGGTGACGGCAGCCAGCACGGCCAGACGGACGATCAGCAGCAGAACATCGTCTTTGTAGATCTTAGAGTACGTGTGCAGCAGCTCGGCCTCAACGTTGACTGTGAAGGACAACAGAGAGAACCTTAATCACAGCTGGAGAAACCTAAACGTATTGTTTTCCTGATATATGCTCTTTTATAACCAGGGAGACGTTCCTGATACATTTCAGATACATGCATCAGGTGGCTTTTTCACAGCGTTGCATAAGTGGCCCCAAATACCACGACTAAATATGAACCCAACATTGATTAACACGAGCTTTGTTCCTCTGTGAGACTCACTGTTGAAGGTGAGGTATCCGAAGAGGGCAGCCAGCAGGTACATGATGAACATGGCCGTGAAGGACACGTTGGCCACGTTCTGCATCTTCTTACGAGAGCGGCTGTTGAGGAAAGCACAGAGAGGATGTCTTGTTAGACAAAAGGCCCGACTGTTATCGTTCCTGGGAACATGGAGGCTTTTGCACTTACTCTTTGAGCTCCTCGTACATGGGCAGGATGGTAGGGTGGCACACAAAGGCAAAGATCAGGATGGGCAGAGCGTAGACCGTCTGGAAGGAGCCAAACATCACATTAGATTCCCACCATTTCACTCCAGATTTTCAGATTCACGAATCTAAGAGTTTACCTGTGAGTTGATGACCACGTATTTTGGTGTGCAGACATCCTCGGTGGAGTTGATGGTGCTGGGGGTGCTGTTAGCCATTAGCGCGGTTTCATTCACAGCATCGAGGAAAGGCAGAGGGCACGGGATCTGGAACTTCTTTATGATCACCTAAAGGAAAAAGATAAACATGTTTATGATTTCAGCTTTAATAAAAAAAAACTGGACATGAGCAGCTTCTAGTGACATCACTATTTATATTAAACGAGTCATCTAGCAGATAAGTGGAACCAAATTAGGATTTCAGACTCTCGTCTCTGGCAGCATTGTGTCATTTTTCCCTATCCTACATTATTAGTAGGATTTATCTGGAACTCTCTTATGCAACAACATGTAAATCTAAGTGGGAGGAGCCAAAGTGGGCTCACACTCACCACAATCAGGAAGAACACCATGCAGAGGAGGGACAAACCACTGGTGTAACCAAGGTAACCTGAGAGGATAAACACAAGTCTAAGTGGGTTGTTCCAATCAACTAATCACTTAAACAAAATGGCACGTACACACACGTGCACACACACACGCACGCACACACACACTCACACCTTACCTAAATTTCGGAGCAGTGAGAGAGGCAGGATGATGCAGAGTGACACCAGCAGCACCAGATAGTCTCCGTTTGTGTACCATTCACTGGAAGGTAAACAACACATCAAGGTTTATTTTAGGTTCTGATCAGTCACTTCCGTCTCAAACAAACTCGTTAACCAGCAAAGAACTATTTCAAAACCTGAACGCTTCTAAAACGACACCTAAATCTGCAGCTGCGGGCGGGGAGGAGATCTAAGCCAACAGCTGACCCAGTCCAGCCTGCGCAGGATGACGACATCACGCTCAGAAATAGACACAACAAAGCTGCTCTGAGGAGCCGGGCTCCACATCAATATTTAAAGTTGGGGTGAGGTCGCAGTGAGCTCACTCTGCGCCATCTCCACGCAGAACCGACCTCATCTACTGAAGGGGCTCTTTGACGATGTTATGAAGTGCTGGCGCTGTTTCAGTAAACACCCAAAGCCCCCCCCCCCCCCCCCCATCAATAACAACAAACACCAGCTGCAAATAAAATATATCCTTTATTTGATTTACTTAAATGTATTGTTTAGCCGTCTAAAATAACAAACCAGGTAAACTGAACTGCTGCAGGTCACGCATTTCTGCTCTCTCACCACTAGACGGTGCTTGTGAGCAGTGTTTACTGTCCCAGTTTGAAAACAAAACTGCCTGTGCCCTAAAATGGCACACTGCCTAAAAGAACAGTTCAGTCAGCCGTTTTAGTTTTAAATGACATCTATTTAAGGTTTTTAGGGGGTAAATACTCACTCCTTTGCTCCCGTAAAAGCTTCGATGACGATGGGCAGCTCATATTTGATGATGTAGAGGTAGCTCGACATGGCTGCCAAGACAAAATTAAGAGCGGCTTGTACAATTTACTGAATAATAAAACAAAAACACGTATTCTCCTCGGTAGAGGTTTGGTTTCAGTCCCTCACCTCCAATGTTCTGCATGGTGATGGCGCAGGAGGCTGCTAGTTTTCCTGGCATCCCAAAGGCTTTTTGGCCCAACTCCTCATAAACACGAGCACCTTCGGAGAAAAACAGAAGCATGTGTACCTTGTGATGCTTAAACAACAAGGTACACAGCAGCTGGGGAAAGGCTCACCTCCTTCGTTGGCCGTCTTCAGCAGCAAGTGGACAGAATACAGAGAGAAGATGGCCACGGACACCAGGAGAAGTCTGTAAACACACCAGTAGGATATTTAGCTGTTGAGTCATCACCAAAGAGTGAGTGTCGGAGAAAAAAAACGATAAAACAATCGATGCTAAAGTGATGAACTAATGTGCTTTTCTGATGGTTGACAAACATTTTGAGCTGTTTGAAGGTTTTTTTAAAAAACGTCGAACGCAGTTTTAAATTGCAGGAGCAGAAAACCACTGAATCGGGCCGACCAAGGGTAATTGGCACCTCCAGTTGCATCAGCTGGTTTGTAAAGGACGAAAGGTTTCCCTGTATGGGATCCTCTTAACCTGTCTAGGACGCTGCAGAGGCAGCACAGTCTGTCCTGTGGTATTTATAGTTCAGGTGAAAATTAATCCTCCTGTGCCATTTGAGCCTCAACGTGCCGAGGTGTAGGATTTTCTCTAAGCCCAAGCTGATAAAGCGGCCTCACTTTTATCTGAGTTTTTCTAAGAAATTCCTCACCCTTATCACTTTGAACACACCGATCCTCACACTTCAGATGGTATTTTATGGCAGCCTGTTAGTTAAAAGACAAATGTGTCACACTCAAAGGAGCTATTAAGGGCTGTATAATCCCAGCTTCCTGTAGACACTGGTTTCTGATTGGTCAGCCCCTCGGCTGCATTCATGATCTCCTACATTGGCGTGCCTCTGTGTTTACGTAATGCTGGTGCATCAGGATTAGCCGGGCTAAGCAGCTTCTCCTGCCACCGTGTGTTTGTAAAACAACCCACAACGTCCAACTGAACACTGGAAAAGGCTCTCAACCCTCAAAATCAAACTGTAGATTAATGACAAGACAAACAGCTCCAGTGAATTTTACACCAATTCATTTGAAACTATTATATTATGCTTTTTCTTTCTTCTGGAAACAATCAGGAGTTTTAAATCCAGAGTTGGATCCCAACTTTGGAAACTTCTGCTGACAGAATACATATTCTATCTCAGTTTGGATTCAATTCGATTCAAAAATACTTTATTAATCCCAGAGGGAAATTGATTAAACATATTGAAGTCAGACGTCCAATTTAAACTTGTGCTTTATCTAATCTTTAGTTTTGTTTTGCCTTGCAGTAAAGAAAATAAAACAACACCAGCAGATAAGATAATCTAGGACTGATTATCTGTCTTTAACTACAGATGTTATGCACTGGCAAGCCAACAGGGGGCAAGAAAAAATAACCCTCCTCATACTTTAATATACTGCAAACATGATAACACATCATCAAAAACGCTAAAACTAAGAACTTCTGACCCAACACCTGCCTTTGTCAAGGTCGAGCAGCAGCTGCTGAACACAACCCTGCAGAGCTGAGACCTTGAAGCAGCAGAAGATAAAGCCACAGCTGGCTGTTCTGATTCTGACGCAGGTCTCAGGGAACTCATGTTCTGTGTGATGCTTACATGAACAGGGCGATGCCAGTGTTGGCCATGGCGAACGACAGGCCCAGGATGCCACTGCCCATGATGGCGTTGCCAAGGTTAAACACCGACATACCGAAGGAGGCATTGCCCTGATGCTGAGGAGGAAACGCAGCATGTCAGAGACGACGGAAACAAAACAAACACCAACTGTTGACAAACATGAAAGCAGCTCTTACATATTCTGTCTCATACTTCTTCTTTCCTGCACTCTCATGGAGGAAGTTTTGACTCTCTGGGTCTGTATCCAGATATTGGCTTTAAAAGAAAAAAAATGTATTTAGATGATTTGTTGTGAATATATATATATATATATATATATATATATATATATATATATATATATATATATATATATATATATATATATATATATATACACACACACATATATATTATATACATACACACACACATATATATATTATATACATACACACACACATATATATATTATATACATACACACACACACACATATATATGAACTGAGCCTCACCCATTCAGATTGACTTTTTTAAATTCTGGGTAAGGGATGTCATTGGAGCTGAGGCTGTCATCATCTTCAGCAGCATTTAGACACTTCATCTCGGTTTTGGAAGCGGCGCGTGTCTCACCGGGCATCTTACAGCTGGAAAAACCCAGAAAAGTGCTCATTAATTGGCTGTATTTACATGTATTTCCTGCTGCGTCACGTTTCTGAGCAACAGAAACCTGCGCGCTCATTAGCATAACGTAAAGAATATCACGTGGCTTGTCTCCGAGAAGAAGGGCGTGGCTTGCGAGGATGCGATGACGCACCGGTAAGTGGAAAAATACCGGAGTTGCATCCTCATCATCAGTAAAGGAGACTGAGCGACCCCCCCCCCCCCCCCCTAAAAAAAGAATAAAAATACCGCAGTGCGCGCGCTGCTGCTTTTTAAATATTTACCATCATAATAATAAACTAAATATTTAGTAAGCAGTTTGCTATCCTTGTGTGAGGCTTTTTCGCTTATATAAGATGAAGTTTGTGACTCAGTAAAACGCCCTACATTAAAATACAAAAAAAAAAACAACTTTAAATAAAGACAAAAACATATATTTCTTTGACACATAAAAGCACACCACACCAGTTCCATTTTATGGGATTTTTTCCACATCCGGCTCCAACAGAAACAAAGACACGTGTTGTTTCTATGTCTAATCCTTTTTCCTCCCTCGCGGACCTGGCTCCCTGACTCACTCATCCAACGTTACATCTAAACAGGCAGCGTTTTAAAATATAAAAGACAAAAGCACCATCACCTTACACATATTTATTCATATAAACAATTATGACCTGGCATAGTTTTCTTTTAGTTCATAACAAGTTTTTAAAAAATCTAATTTAACATGAGAAATCTAATTTTTTCTATTAACTTATCCCACACCATTCTCTGTTTATGACCGACATAATTCAGAAATAAAAGGTTAAACTGACAGTGAGATGAAACCAGAGAAAATATGAACTAAATTCAAATTTCAGAGACCTTCCTGTAATTTGAATCACTGTCCCTCCCATCTGGTAATTTTCCAGCAGCCGCTCATTGATACCGGCATTCTTACCTTATGAAGCAAGAAGAGGAATCCAAAATCCCTTTAGATGAGGAGAGAAAAGAAAAAGATCCCGACAATTTCTTCACAAAAATGTTTTTAAAAAATCCTTGAGAAGGGTTATCTTAAATATTAAACGAGTGAATGAAAGAAACAAATCAGAAGATCTGAATCAGACTTCACTACAGAAATATAAAACACAAATAGTGGATCTCTAAGGAGTCACTGAGGAGATATTATTGGATTATTTACTGATTAATTTCCGCAGATGCGAAGCGACCAGAAAGGAGAGGATGTTCTGCTGAAGGAGGAGACAAGACTCACCCTTTATATGTATTGCATCAGATCGAGGGAGTTGGAGATGAGGGGGAGGAGTCCTCCAGTGGGGGGAGGAGAAGGAGACGGGATACGCGCACACGGCGTGTGTGACGTCCATTGTATACAAACAGAGCCTGGAGTCTCCTGGAAAACCACAGGATTCCACCGGGAGCCTATTAAAAGTGGTCTCCAAGAAAACCTCTCTTAAGAAGTTGTATAATCATGGCACAAAATGAAAAACGCTAAGCCTAACCCCATGAAAAACGCTGTCTGAATATGTCTTTAAACACTTTAAATACTTTAATAGAGTACCCAACAAAGAACCCAACCACAATAATAAACAAACAAATTAATAAACCCAAACCCAGAAAATACAACTCAGTAGTTTTCTTTTTTATCTTTGGCCAATTATATATATATATATATATATATATATATATATATATATATATATATATATATATATATATATATATATATATATATAAAAGCAATAAAATGTTGAACTTTGTCAACTGCTTCCACTGAACGTAGTTGTAACCCTAATATATTACTATTAAGTTAAAAGTAAATAAGTGCCCATATTGCACATTTGATGGTGGTTCATGAGTGCATTTGAGAGAATTTTGGCCTTGTGCCATCATTTGCCTCAGAAGATGACTGATAATGCAACACGTCCTTTACTGCTACAACTGTGCTGAGCCCCACCACTGTGGCTTTACCGGGCTGGTATGGTGTTTGTTATGGCTCAATGACTTCTCACAAATGGTGGTTTGTCTGTACCTTAGCTTGGTATTTCTTTTCAACCTTATTCTTTTTTACCTACTGTTTCTGAACCACTTGATTTAAACATTCATTTTACATCGATCTTTACTTACTAGCTTGTTTACATGGAGTATCTGCGCAGATCAGGGAGGTTAAAAGCAGTTTGAGTGGGATTACACACACACCATGTGACAAGGCTCATCTTGATCCTCATTCACGCTGCTAGGTCTTCCCGTTGCCTTGCATGTGTTTGTGTGTAAGGCAAATCCTCAAGTGCTCTGTTTCCAGATGTATTATTAATACCAGCGTTACAAAGAGACCAGTCATTCATGTGTGAGTAAAACACCTCAAAATCAGCCTTAATCGCATCATATGTTAATAAATTTGCAAAAAATGAATGTTTGTGTTGTTTAAACCTATTTGATTTTCAAACAATACTTTCTAACTGCAGTAATCCCAAATTAAAGATTAATGGTTGTAAATTATTCATCCTTGTGAGTTTGACTCAGCCGAGTCAAGGAAGCATGCTTCATCAGTTACAGGTGTAGCAGAAAGGCGTTGGACAAGATCATGTGACAGCAGGAGTTGTAAAAATAAATGTGGCTGAAAATAAATAAATCTTTCTTAGTCAAAATGTTACAAAATGGTGTTATGCCGGTAAATCCTTAACCACTTTACAAAATGTTCACAGCCTCACAATCACTTTGGCTTTCTGATCATGTGGTGAGCTCAGAAAAGAACAGAGCCAGGCGAGAAGCTGACCGATGACTCGTCATAATGTACACAATACACTTTTAAAACCAGTTTAACCGAGTCACTTAAGAGGGGCATGTGCAGTGTTATGGGTTTCTGTGGTAACACAGGAAATGCTTTTATAACTGCCCTCTGCAAAAAGGGAAGCAAGCAGGCCATAATGTTTTTGCCATATATCTCATGAACCGCTGGATGGATCTGAATGAAAACTCAGAAAGCAGTCGTTACAACTGATCGACCTTTGGAATCATTGCAGCTGAATAAGGCTGCCACAGCTATGTTAGCATGTTAGCCAACACAAAAATGACTACAATCACGGTTTTCCACTGCATGTGTAAGCAGCAGAGCGTAAAGTAGTTGATGCGTTTTACCTGCATTCCCACCTGAAATGTTTCAGACGTGAAACGGCAGCGACAGCGTTCCATGCAGGTCACACACGACACGACCTGAAGATTGCAGGATGATACAGAATTTTGACACATCAAGCAAGCAAGGAAAACGACGATGACGTGTATCCAAAATTATCTGTGGTTTAACTTCTGATCTGTTTACCTCGGCTATGAAAGGTTTCACAAGAAATGAATCACTTTTATTTTACTAGATGAGCAAATGGAAATCTGCATGGGACTTTTAATTTGAAAGTTTCCAGATGTTTTACACTGCTTATGTGATTGATTTCCTGCACCTGATCTGAACTGCTGAGCTTCACACATTCTGGGAGCACATCGCGTACAAAACAGGACACTTTGCTTTGCGGTCGGTGGAAACGCACCCATCTACTATAACAGCGGCTAACTGCTGCATACTGTGCTTCATGTACGTTACACAACGCTGACGCGTCTAGGTCTACTCTTTTAAGTATGGTTTTCACTGCAGCTACCCACTTAAACATTCTTCCTCTCCTGATAATAACATTTTACTTTCTTTGACATTGAATGTGCTACTACTAGTTTTCCTGTTTAATTATAGATTCACTAGGATAAATACAATAAAGTTTATCTCTCACCAAATAGAATATTTAATAAGAAATCACAATGTAACCATAGAAACACTGGGTATATATGTTGTGTGAGTGTGTGTGTGTGTGTGTGTGTGTGTGTGTGTATGTGTGTGTGATTCTCTGGAGGTTTCCTCCTGTTAAAAGGGAATTTTCCTCTCCACTGTCACTGCATGCTTGCTTGGTATGAGGATTGCTGTAAAGTCACTGACACTAGTCAGTGACTTGATGCAATTTGCTGGGTTCCTTATATAGGAAACTTTTTACTGACTGGCTTAATGAACTGACCTGAATTGGAATGTTTATTATGTGAAGTGCCTTGAGACGACTCGTTGTGATTTGGCGCTATATAAATAAACTTGAATTGAATTTTCATGTTCACCCCTTTTATCATTTCATTCTTTAGCTATGTTTGTTTTGTTCCTTATTTCCTCAGCTCTTCTTGTGATGTTTACTCACATGGGCCAGTTGCTTCAATCAACAAACCCATTCCTAACAGGTAAAAAGTCCTTTGTTTCTCAGTTTCATCCTCCTGTTTCTCACTCTCTGGTCCGCTGAGTGTTTCCCTGTACTTCTGGTCTGTAAATCTGTTTAAGTTCATTATAATATGACCTATTTTTGTACCATCTACCTCTAAGTATAACTATTCTCTGGAGTTGCCTCAACTAGCTCAGATGTTTTGATGTTTTGTTCATGGGCGACGAATGGAGCAAGAAATGGATATATGGATCAGGGTTTTGTCTTCACTGACCGGGATCTGCTCCAGTTTGTAACAGTCAAGAAAGAGATGAACCAAGAGGCAAAACTCTTAATTTACTGGTCCGTTTATGTTCCGTCCTTACCCAAGGTCACAAGATCAGCCTTACAGGTAAGAAAAGGCCCTCCATCTTCCAAGGTGACATAAAAACTTGACCAAAACAATTATAATTTTATCATTTCTCAACATAAGATATTAGTTTAAAACTCTGGATTGAAAGGTTAATTTATTCAGCATTAACTTGTACATATGCTCCTTCAGAGTGCATGTGGCAAGTGTTCTGATAAAATCAGAGAAGTTCAAAGCAAAAGAGTAATGTTTATGGTTTCGCTCTCTGTCTTCTCACATTTCCGTCTCTGTCGGTCAGCTTCACACATTTGCATTTCTGCAGTCAGACTTTGTGCAGACCTTTTTTCTGAGCTCTTATCACATCTTAACTGGATCAAAACTAGAGTAGGGTGAAAGAGGTTCAGTAGCAGTGGCAAAGGTGCTCTGAAATGTTCAATAAAACATAAATTAAAACAAAAGCTTCTAGGAAACTACCAGGATGGGCTGAAGAAAATGAATGCACGAAAGCAAAAAAGTAAAAGCATTTGTCAAAATCCTGGTAGAGCAACTTTTCTGTGGTCTGTACAGAAAAAAGGGCGTGATCAGTAAGTTTTATGAGAAGAATGAAGGGAGGTTGAGGAAAAACTGGTTAGTATCAAAGCGTCTCCTGCAAGCGCCACTATGATTAGTCATTTTAAAACTTCCTCTTAAAAACACATCAACAAACTCAGCTGTCACAAACTGTGGCAGCTGCAGCTGCTTATAATAATGCCCACTTTGTCACAAGAACATCCAGAGCCACTGTGAGGAGTTTAAGAAACAAGGCTTTCACTGTAACTTGGTGTAGATTTGGGCGACTGGGAGCATACAGTGGAACAATTATTTGCCTAAAGCTCTTAGCCATTCTTCTCAGCCTACTTGATTGGGTGTGCGCTTGTTTCTGGGCTAAGAACAAATCCTCGAGGAATGTGTGCACACCTTTGTAGATAATGAAACAAAACAGAATTATTGCAGTCTTCTTCTCTGCGGGTGTAGGCGTTTGAGTGGAGATGTTGCCTCTGTGAGAGGAAATGATGCAAGAATTAGTCTTTGTTACTGATGAGCTGGAGAAGAAACTACAAGTTCCTTTTAAAATACAATGATTACTGACTCATCCACCAGTTAAGCAACCAGTATGTGTTCTTAAAATTCCCTTACAGTCACCAAAAGGTCACTTACACACCAGGAAAAGTTGTGCAAGTAAAAGGAGAAAATGATCTAGGCAGTGGTTCCTGTAAAAGACCATAGACTCAACGGAAATGACCCACCGAGCAGACTTTCTTTTGACAGACTTGTTACCATGTAAGATGGATAACAAACACACAGGTGAAAGAATCTGACCAAACAATCAATTAGTCCCTGATAAAGACCCGAAACAATGGAGAAGTATGTTTCCTCCTCCCTCAGAAGGAATGCAGGCACCTGCTGTACGTCAGCTGTACTTTGTCATTACGTTAGAGAGGAAGCTTCTTTGTTTTTTTTAAACATTATAACTATTTGAAAATGATTAGCAGAAATGACAAAAGTAAAAAAGTAAAAACCCCACAAAATAATGTAGAGCATCAGGATTTCACATTTAGTTAGCCTGTTACATTTGATCTTTTTTTAAACTTTAATTTGGTAATAAAGAGTCAAAATA